CAATCCATTAAACTCTATTTCTTTATATAATTTAATAAAATCTTAATTTTTTTTAAATGCTAATTCACTATTTAACAATAATATACTACCAACCTACAAATTAGACAATAACAATATAATAAATCACCCATCCTAGACATAAAAGCACTAATAACACAAATATTCGAGAAAATCATTACTAAAATAATATATGAATATTTCAAAGCATATGAATTTTCACTCATTCATATACCAACTCAATTCAATCGGGTTTTCGGTTAAACCCCAAACAAAAAATGTCCAAAAAATGACAAAATCCCATCTATAAAACATCATAATGCATCATCACTGTCTCCGGCTCCGCGCTTGCGCGGAGCTATGAACCTAGTTAATAATAATAATACAATTAATTTCTAAAATTGTGTCTTTTCATTATAATTTTGTTCATTGTTCATTATATATTATGAACATCATACCTTTTCATTTATAACTGTTTTCTATTTAGTTTATGCCTTTTCAATTCTATTATATTATGTTCTTTGTGTTTCATAAAAAAAGACTTGAAAAGTTGCGTTGTCAAAAAAAAAAAGACTTGGAACGTTGCATATTTTTTCTACATGTCTCTTCAACTCATATATTTGCGTGTTTCAAACTATTAAATCATACTTTGGTTTTGCCCAAAAAAAACTGGTTTTTTTCTCTCCTGGCCACAAAGCCAGATTGGAGTAATCTTATCACAGATTCCCTCCCTGCCACCGGCTGTACCCATTTCCTTTGTTTTTTGTTAATAGACTAAAAAGTTAGATTAATCAAGTTCTTATAATGGAACCAATAACGTGTTTGTGCTCTTTCCTCACGGCGGTTAAAGATGTTTCTTTAACTTTAACACCAATGACAATTTAGTTAGAGACGTTGTACTGTATTCCATTGTCGTGAGACTCGTGACCACTTATATGTTGTCACCCAAATCTATTCGGTATTGATAATGGTATCGTCTCCAACCATCTTCGTTTTCTATGGCGTCTTTTTTCATGAGAGAGCAGTCTCATTAGAAATTGGATCTCATGGTACACGATGGTTACTATAATTCATGCCGGTTCAATCTTGTAATCGTTATCTCTCTCATAGTAGACTTTTCAGTGGTTTTGTATATAGATTCCATTGATGAACATGTATGGGATTCAGAATCATATATCATTTATATATTATGTTGTATAATATCATGTTTTGGTGCAGTTTTTGTCTGATTTGGTCGTTTATTAGACAACTTTATTTATCAAAAAATAATAATTAACAAAATGAAAAACCAAAAACAAATATTTTCATATATGCACATTTCAATCTATGCATTTGTCTGATATATGTGTTATCAATTAAATGAATCTCTAATTACACTTAAATGGGGAAAGAGGGTTGGAGAGTAAGTGAATTTTTGAAACTATTTAAGTGAACTATTATTAGTTTGGAATGTTTATATCAAGTTACTGTGTTGATATGAAGATTTGCATCTTTTAATTGATTTTTTTTTCATTTATTAGTTTTTGGGAATGAAAAGTTGTATTCTTCTCATGACTTTTGATATGATAAGTTGCATCTTTTACTAATGTCTTTTCAAAAAGAGATTATTTGCTCACATATCCTTTTAGGACCCTTAATTAAAGAAATATATATGATGTGACTGAATTAATCATAATAACCAAACTGCTCTTCTATCTCTCTCCTCTTACACTTAGGCATGTCAGCCTACAAATTTATCTTCTTCTTTTTTTAACTCTCTCTCTCTCTCGTTATCTCCTTCATCTCCTCTTTTAATTATTTTTGTTTACATGAATTACATGTAAAATAAATATGTCAAATATATTTTTTATTTTGAATTCACTTTAATTCTTAAATAATAATTTTAAATTTTAAATTTACTCAATGTGATTGGAAAACACAAAATTCAATGATATTTATTTGTTAACAACTAATACATAACACCTCTATTAAGATATATAATTTCATAAATATCTAACACTTCTGTTAACACCTCTGATACGTAAACTTGTTAACAACTAACACCCATGTTAACATCTAAAACATGTATTTGTTAATAGCTAAAACATCTGTTAACATCTACATTAGTTGTTAACCGTTAACAACTTCGTTAACAATCGACACTAGTGATTATTAACAGAGACATTAACTGTTAATAAATTTTGTGTATGTTAACAGATGTGTTAGCTGTTAACAAATACATGTAATATCGAATTTATAACAAATTATAAATTTATGTTGAAATTTTGCAATTAATTGTAATTTATGTTTTCAATTATATCAAATGTTAAATTATTTTATCTATTATAATGTTTTTATATTATACATTCGAAAATATTATTATTTGATAATATTTTTAGCATTTAAGAAAATCTATCAACACATGTAAATAACATGTCTCTCTATTCTCTCCTGACATTTCTCTGTTACCAGCAGAAACTTTTTAGTTAAAGAATGATAGTTTAGACATTTTTAGGCGTAATTGTATGGTTTGAACTATTAATGTCCCATCATGGACAAACCACTATTATTGACCTCAAATAAGGGTATTTGCCTAAATCTCTCTTTCAAAAATATATATAGTGTGTGTTTTATAATATTTTTAAAGACAAACGCATTTACGTTGCTCTCTAACAAGTGGTAGTGTGTGTATAATCGGCAATAATGTATGACTAATTTGTGATATGTCAACTGCTCGTCATATTTCGTTCGTCTTGTTTTAATATTTAATTATTAGGTGTTTATGCCCACAATTTTGTGTCATTGTTCTCCTATCATATTTTCTCCTTCAACTGAACTTCTAATTCATTTTCCCAGACCATCACTTGTATCCTTCTCACATTCTTTTACATTATTGACTTAATCTTATCTTCCCACTAGTCGTCTTCGTTTATTATCTACCCCTCTTTGTTTATTTGATAATAGCCTCGCTTTGCAATTTGTATGTGAAGCCGATGTTAATCCTTACCAATAGCAAAGCATTTAACTAGACAGCCATTCACCTTGGAAAAAATTGATCTCTCGGGCTTGGCCAAGGACGTTTGAAAAAGAGTCACTGTCATCGTCTTCTTATTCTTTATTTGTTATATAAAAAATCTTTAGATATGCAATGAGAGTTTAATATTAATATGTTCATCTATATTTTTACTTATTTGTTTTAGCTATATATTTCATAGCTTTCATTAAATGGTAATAAGATAACAAATTAAAAAGTATTGGTTATGAAGTAGAATTTAAGATTCTAATTCTAACCTAATTCTTTTGAAAGATTTGTCACCATTTTGTGGCATGAAAGAAAAATATGAAAATAATATTTTTCAGAAATTGAAAGGATTAACCAATCGATGTAGTATGCAACAACAATTAACATAACCTCAGAGTTGAATGTTATAGTATAATTAAAACAGAGTAAGCAGCCAAAACCCCTAATAAATTCAGCCACTACGTCAAACCTCTCAGTTCTTCAACATTTTGCATTTGTATGATATGTTGATTTAATTTCTACTATCGATATCTCTGTTAGATCTCTTGGAGATTGTTGGTATGTTCGTTCAGGGAAGTGGTAATTAAGACAGGATAAGATTGATTACTAAATATGTCATATATGTATTCAACCTTTCTAAATATAATAATTTAAGTGCATTGTTGATTTTTTTTTTTAATTTGAGTAAATTCTCTACAAAAGAAACCAGGGAAGTGGTAATTAAGATGGAAGTATGTGTCTTTCATCCTAAGAATCACATTGGTTAAGACATTTTTCTTTATACATGATTTGATATATATGTTATTTATTTAGTAAATCTCTAATTACATTTAAATGAAAAAAGGTTATTAGAAATTTAAGTAATTGTAATTGTTTGGTGGAAATTGCAACTAATTAAATGAAACATTGCAACTGTTAGTGTGATGAAACTTTTGGTGAATAACTATTGCAATCGTTGATTATTATAATCTTTGTGAAGAAACAATTGCAACTTTTGGTGATAATTATTGGCACTCTTACCTAACTATTTCCATATTTGGTTGTTAGTCATTACAACTCTTAGGCATTGATTGGTAACCATGCAGAATGGCGGAATGACTTATGAAACGCGATTCCGCAAGAATTTTGCCAATCAACGAAATGTTGCGGAATGAAAAAAAAACGTAAAAACGCAAACTTGCGTTTTTGCTGACAAAAATATAAAGAGAAATTTTATTAAGTGGAAAAGTGAGTTTTAGTAGAATATGGTGGAAAGGTTTACAAACTAATATTTTCATATTATTAAATTATATGCTAATACTATCTTAAAATATAAAATACATATCAATAATTTTAATGATAAATAATTATGTTGTAAATAAAGTTCTATTATAATTTGTATATTAAAAAATTTCTATTGTTAAAATGTATTGAAAGATATGTTAGATATTTATAATAAAAACTAAATTTTTTTTAATAAATTTTAGTTGTTTTCACATTTATAATAATTAGTTTAATTATTAATAGTTGTTTTTTATAACAAATTAAAAAACATATAAAATATTTTAATCAATTAATATATATTCCGCTATTCCGCAAATTTTAAATTTTTCCACGACTTAATTAATTTTTTCCGCAACTTAACTATTATTTCCGCGATTACGCGATGGTTACCAATCGGAGCCTTAGTCTCATGTATAAAGGATTATGAGCATTAACAAAAAAACAACAAAAATGACAATAATCATAAATAAACTACAAAATAGAGAGATTCATTGCTGTAAAATCATTAAAAATCTTTTTAAAACGCTTATAAACACGGAAAACTCTATTAATTATTCTTATATTTTAACCTAGATTAAGAAACTTGGAATACACTGAATACAAGCTATTTTGTAACACAATCATGATTAGAGAGTAATTGTAAATAACTTTTTTTATATAACATAATATATTTATTTGATAAAATAAGTTTCCGTGCAATATTGCACGGGTTTCCTTACCTAGTAATAATAAGTAATAATAAGAGCCAACTTTAAAAAACTCATAAGTCAGAACAATGAATCTACACAGCAATACAAAATTAGACAGGACATAAAAGTACACAATGCACAAGGCAACGAAACATGACCAAACAAAGTTGGATCAGAACATGAGATTTGTAAGGGAAATGTAGAGAACAAGGCAAAAAATCATGATTGCTCAAATGGGTTAAATACTGAAAATGCAAACTCTCTCTATCTCTCTGTCTTCTACTTTTGGTTGCATAAGTAAGTGGCAGCTTGAAGAGCAAAGTAGGTAAGGATGATATCAGCACCAGCTCTGCGTAAGCACATTAGTGACTCCATCATCACTTTCTCCTCATCGATCATTTTCAGGACACCCCCTGCTTTGATCATCGAGTACTCCCCAGACACCTGAAAAATACATGGAAAAGAGATCAAAATCAGCAAAAACCTGAGAGACACTGATAGTGTTGTTTGTTGATAGGTGTGTGATGAAGATAGTACTTGGTATGCAGCAATGGGTAATGGAGATTTGTCCCTGAGAAGCCGTATGATGTCCAAATATGGGAGACCTGGCTTCACCTGTAACCAAACACTCCATGTTATAAAATTCTAGACATGTTTTTGACTTCAAGGGTGATCAAAAGAGCTATTACCAGGAGAATGTCGGCTCCTTCAGCCTCGTCTTCACGAGCCTCAATCAAAGCCTCTCTATAATTCGCTGGGTTCATCTGATAACTTTTGTTCAAGGTACAAAGGCTTAGCCAAAGAAACAAAAAAAAAAAGAAATGCAAATTTATCAACGGATTGTTTGTGACTTACGTTTTCTTGTCCCCAAAACGTGGATTTGAGTCCAGGGCTTCACGGAACGGGCCGTAGAACGAACTTGCATACCTGTTGCCACAAGATTCATACAAGAGATTAGACACAACAAAAAAAAGAAAATGCTCTAAAAAGCAGCTGTTGAGGTCGAAGTTATATGATTACTTTGCGGTGTAAGACATGATGGAGACGTTTTGGAAGCCTTCAGCATCAAGAGCTGCACGAATTGCGCCTACTCGACCATCCATCATGTCACTCGGACTAACAACATCCGCTCCAGCTCGGGCCTGGAGACAGAGAGATCATAACCCATAAGTAAATTTCAAACATTTTGACTCCAAGACAGGTCTTCTATAGGTTTTACCTGAGAAACAGCTTGCTTACACAGCTGGTGTACCGTTTCATCATTCATTATTACACCTATAGAGATTAGAAAAATGTATCAGTAGACCAATTATAATGTAATGAAAGGAAGTTGGGGTTGAAAATACTTACCATCCTCTCTGACGATACCATCGTGACCATCAGATGAGTAGGGATCCAGAGCAACATCAGTGTAGATAATCTAAGAGATACAAAAAAACATTCATTACCAAGATTACCCTATTTTCATCTCCAGTTCTATTCAATAAACTAAGATTTACGGATCTTACAAGATCAGGATACTTGTCTTTGAGAAGACGGATTGTTCTAGGTACAAGACCATTGTCATTATATGCCTCATCCCCTGTTGGATTCTACCAAAAATGGCAACAAAGACAAAGAGTTTAAGTAAACAACTCAAGAACATATATATGAAAACAGAAGAGAAATGTGAAACCTTCAACGCCTCAGGAACTTTAGGGAATAGCACAATACTGTTAACACCAACAGCTCGAGCCTTTGCAACCTGTTTGCCAAAAAAAACAATCATTTTCTTGTTGCTCCCAAAGAACTAACATATAAATGAAACAAATCAAAACACAGAGCCAAACCTCTTCTACAAGGCCATGCCTCCAGCCAAGTCTGTAGCAACCGGGCATAGCTCCAATAGGCGTGTCCTCCTCACCTGCCATACTCCAATCACACACATAATAAGTTTCTTAAGAGACAATAGAGATCAGAGACAAAATGTCCTAAGATTCAGAAGAAAAAGGAAGAAACCAACCTTCATGAATGAAAAGTGGGTATACAAAATTTGCAGGGGAGATGTCAGTTTCCTGAAAAGCAGCTCTCACAGTTGGAGAAGCACGGTTACGCCGTGGCCGTCTGTTTAGATTCTGTAAACCATAAGTAACATCAGAACAGACAAGAGTTAAAGTCTCTCAAAGCTTCAACCTTGAAACTTAACAGAGTGTTCATGGCATTAAGACAGAGAGAGTTATTACACAACAACAATGCATTTGGTTTCTAACATAAACCAAAAGGGTAATTGCAGAATCGTATGTAACAATGCATAAGGGATTAGAATACTCACGAGAGGCTGAATAACTGGCGTACCAGCCGGAGCAACCGGTTTAGGTGGAACCGGAGGAGCTTCAGGAACATCTCCAGCAGCAACGGCAGCTTCACACTCAGCATCGCTCCTCCCAAGCTTCTTCGCGTGTCCGTTGCTAGCTCTTACGACAAGAGAGCGTCGCTGAGAAGTTGCAACTGGAAGAGAAGCAATTCTAACTTGACTCACATTCGATCTGAGACCACCAACATAGCTCTTGCAATCGATTACTTTGATCGATGGAAAGCTGCAAGATACATTGAATAAACTCGTAGTAGCCATTGATGAATCTGCAACACAATTTGAGAAACCCATCAGCTGAATTGCATAAAGTTTAAGTCTTTTTTAAGAATCAAACGCAAAGATCGAAGCTTTGACTAAACAGAGTAACGTGTGAAGTCGTAAAGATCAAAGCTTTATTCGTTCAAAGCAGAGGAGAAACAGAGAAAGTGTTAACTAACCTTGGATGCGAAGGAGTTGGTGAAGAGAAGAAGCGCAAATGAGAAAGATAAGTTTGGATGATCGTCGTCGTTGACGATATTGACAAAGAATAGATAGAGACGTGATGTTCACGCGCTTTGTCTGCGAGTGTACGAGTTCTAGAACTGGAAGTAGAGCTGGGCCTGTAATAGAATTAAGCTGGGCTTTATGGGCCTGTATTATAGGTAGCTTGATGCCAAAGTCTCTTTTCTGTGCGTGATTATAAATGGGAAGCGGCCACTAACAACTCTAATTTAGGGTTTTCAGCAGCTGCAAAGTTTTTAGCTCATATTGTTTGCGTGTTGCAAAAGCATTTTTGCTGTTAATCTTCTCCTCCATCGACAAACATGGGGTACTGTTTGTTCTTTTAGTGTTTTATTGACTTTTTTTTTTGTTATTGTAATTTCTGGTTATCATTGAATTATATAGAGTTTCTGCATCAGTGCATGTTTGTTTATGATGTATGTCAAGTGTGCTAAGTGCTTGTTTTCTTGATTTGAGAACCTGATTTAAAGAGATATAGTAGCTAATATGGAGATTTAGTGTGTTAGATGACTCTGGATTGTGTTATACGTTTATGAAAGCTTTTTTAAGATTTTCTATTTTATTATCTCTAAACTTGAATTGGTTATTTGTGTGTGGAGTCATGAATCATAATGAATCTGAGATGAAGGTTTGATCTTATTTCTTGTGAAAAATACTTGTATGAATTGATTCTGCTATTGGGTTTATTAAGTGGAGTTATGGTCTTATTATTGTTACATCCTATGGTGATGATATCTTACAGAAAGACAAGGGGTATGGGATCTGCACGTGTCCAAAAAGTGCATAGGAAAAAACAGAGGTGGTCAGACAAGAGCTACAAGAAGGCTCACCTAGGAAACGAGTGGAAGAAGCCTTTTGCTGGTTCTTCTCATGCAAAAGGAATCGTTCTTGAGTTGATGTAAGAAAAACTCTAATTATAAAGAATTGGCTTTTCTTTACTTATAATATGGTCATTGGTATTTGATGAGTGATTCTCTATTTGATTATGCCAGAGGAGTCGAGGCTAAGCAGCCTAACTCTGCTATCCGTAAGTGTGCTAGAATACAACTTATCAAGAACGGAAAGAAGGTTGTTGCTTTTGTTCCTAACGATGGTTGTTTGAACCTCCTTGAACCAAATGTAAGTTGAATCCAAAAAAGCCTTTGAAACCAACAATTATTATTAGTTTTGTTTGAAATCATTTTTTTGTGTTATGATGTTTGCAGGACGAGGTGTTGATCTCTGGATTTGGTCGTAAGGGTCATGCTGTGGGAGATATTCCTGGAGTTAGGTACAAGGTCGTCAAGGTTTCTGGTGTTTCACTCTCTGCTCTCTACAAGGGCAAGAAAGAGAAGCCAAGATCTTAAACAAAATCTTAAAGCTTTTGAATTTTATTTTCATGGCATAAGCACTTTATTTTCAGTACTTTATTTTAAAAATAAAGAACTCTTGTGTTCTGTTCTACTTTGAGATTCAATAACTTGGTTTGTTAAGACTTCTATTTCGATGAGCATTTGAGTTTAGTTTATTCGAATTTATAATGTCATTGGCTTTTTTTAAGAAAAAAAAACTAGATATCATATGGCATGGAATTCCATTACTAGTAGAAAACATGTGACACATAAGGATCATACTTATACATAATCCTGACCATTATTAAAGTCATAGGGAGAGAGAATAAAAGTCAAACAGCTAGCTTACAAAGCCAAACAGGTTTAAGATCAAATCAGTGACCGATCAAAACCACATGAACACAAGGTAAACTTAGTACCTATAATCATCATCAAAGATCATGTAGTTATTGCTTCCTCCACCACCTCCTCCTCTCCTGCCTCTCTCATAACTATCCTTCTACATCACATAACAACACTCATCAAACACTTTAACACTCAATACATCTGTATATATACGTCAATGTAAATTATGAATTTACCCTAACGATCATTCGCTCAAATGCATCGGTGCCGTGTTTCTCCATGTACTTCTCAGCAGCAGTGAGGATATCGTCGTCATCACGTTTGGGAAAGAAGTTGAACTTCTTCTGAGGAACGTACCAAATATTGGTGGAAGCTCTTTGAGGATTCATATAGAATGGTCTAATGAAATGTCTATAGACATGTTCTGCTCCATTAAACTGTGGTAGCACTAGCCAGCATATCCCAATCAGCTTCAAGAACGGCCATATCGGAAACCTTAATAGAAAAAGAGATTTAATTATTTATTACATGACCAAGCTTGTAAGCCTAAGCTAAATGGTTTGCACTAGCATAATAATAGTGTTCGAAAAATAATAAAAATAATAGTAACGTTACGGAACTAACCATTCGAGAAGTTTGGAGAAAATGAGTTCGAAGAGGGAGATGATTGCATAGAGTACCCAGTAGGTAAGCCATTGCTCGTCTTCTGCTAATGATTTTGTCTCTATTGCTTTCACTGATGCATATCTGTTCATTTTTGTTGTCACCGTAATTAATTATTCTAAACACATTATCATATCTTTTAATCTACTACTAATAAAGTAGTTGAATACTCCAAAAGCATAATGATGCCTCGTGTTTTGGATTCTAAGTGGGTGTGTGTGGAAATATGTGCATCTTTTTGACTAAAATTTCCCAGTGTTCATATCATATCAATCTGAATGAAAGATGCGCTTTAAAAATGACTTTTACTAGTATCAGCTAAAATTTATAATTACCTCAATTAACAAACAAAATTAGCTTAAAATTGAGTGTTACTATCAATTGAATCTTTTAGTTACCCCAACAAACACACAAAATTAGTTTAAAGTGAGTTTTGCTATCAATTTAATCTGTTAGTTAATACCCATTAATACACGATTATATGGAGAGAGATTTCACTTACAGAGGGTAGACGAGAGCAACCAATGGGCTGCAGAAGCAAAAACAAAGGAAGTTACAACTTCCAAATATAATTCAACAAAAAACTAAACTTTATAATTTCTTATTCAAAACCGGAATCAGGAACACAGACAATGTGGTTAAACTGAAGTAGAAATTAAAAAAATATATAAGGAAACGAGATAAGGATCTGTAAAGAAAAGAGAGATGGAAAGAGACATACAGAGCAAGAACATCGAAGTTCTTGATGAGAACTTGAAGAACATTGTCATCTCCAGAATGAGAAGGCATTACTACTACTCTCCAGTTTCTTCCTTATTTTCCAAAACTTTCGCCTTCTTATTTTTTTCTTCTCTCTTTCTCTCAGTGTAGAAGTTAAATGGAGGCCAGCTCCTTTTACCTTGGACTTTTATGACCACTCCTTTTTTTCTTTCTTATTATACAGTACTTTCTTATAATTAGGGAAACAAAAACAAATCAGGTTTGCAGCAAAGAGGCACCGAAAATTTACCCCTTTTTACCGGACTATATTTATTTCTAACCGAACTTATAAAGAATACTACACTCGAGTATTTTTATTTTTGGGATCAACTTTAACACTCGAGTTTTGTAGTGATTATCAGCTCCTTCGTCTAATAATTGGGCCTTATGATTATGAACCCCATCTTTTCCTTATAGCCCATATCAATCAATGAGGATGGAGCAGACATCATGCAATCTGGGCCTGAAAAAATATATTCACTAAACAGAAGACCAGCAAGGTAGTACCAACAACACATGAAATCGATCTAAGAAAAGCTAAGAGTATGATCAATGCATGGGTGCTAGGAGGGGTGATTGTTTTAAATTCCTTTTTTATCTGACTTAAAAGAAAAAAAATTAAAAAACAACCAATCATAGACCGCCACGTGTCAATGGGGCCTGCGAAATAGTGCAAGCTCCAACGCTTAATCTGGCCACTTTGGCTCCGCGTCTTCTTCTTTTCTGGTGGGCTCCATGCTTTAGCACCTCCTCAAGCGTTTGCGTTGAAGGTGCTCTAAACCTCTCTCAAAACATTTAGTTGCAGCAAATAAATGCATATCACTTTTGTCAAGAACCAATGTCCTAAAAGTAAACAATGGAGTTTTATTTTACGATTTTTTATCAGATGGGGATCCCAGTCAGCCAGAAGAGTTCATTTCGTCTTGGGTTCATTATTTCCTTCCCTCTTCAACCGTTTCTCCAAGTCAAAGACGGAACAGATATGTTCATTCGGAAGTAGTGTCCAAGCATTCCACACAGCCATGCTACGGCATCTTTTCCCTAGCAATCTACAATAATATATTACAAATTTCATCAATAGTTTGGTTTGGTTTTAATTTTACACGGTTTTGTTTTACGATTTTGATTTTGTCGACTAAAAATTATATTATTTTTCATATTGATTTTGTATGCATATAATTAAGAATGTCGAGAAACATCTTCTCAAACAGAATATTTTAATTTGGAAAACTTTTAATAAATATTTAGAAAGGTTTTAAAATAGTGAAGCTTGATCTAAATAAAGTACAGAAGCAAGTGATGGTATGATGATCATCTAATATTTTCCAGGTCAAAAACAGAGTCCACATGAATACACTCTTCTATACAATAGTATTTCCACATTATATAACTACGTAGATCCAAAAATCTATTTTAAGCATGCTTTTGAGACTTTTTTTCAATTCTTTTGGACCTATAAGGTAATGCCAGGTTACTATTCTCCTACTTGTGTCCTTTCCTTTTCAGATTCTTTTTTTATTATTATAAAATAAAACGCCGACATAAATCTAGTTTATCTTATTCATATATATTCTTTTGATACACTTTGGTTTTCAGATTAATCCTTTGGCATATGAATGAGGTTATATAACCGACAGGCCTACGCTTTCAGGAATGGTTGGCACCCATCTATTGAAGTTTCGGTATTATTATATTTGAAACCTTTACTACACAGAGCAATGGTTTATTTCTGTTACATACTAATTCTACATATATGAGTATGTGTGGTATATAATTTTAAAACTGCTTACATACCAGTCTCCATTCTCGTTGATATATCCACATACTTTAGGTATACATTAATTCGTTTTTGTACACACACCCATGCAAGGTAAGACAGATAGCGCATGTAAAATCTGATGATACAAGATGCTGCAGCGATATATTTAGTGCGCATGTTACATATACTTTCGTATTGGTTCTGTATAATGAAAATTTATCAACGAAATATTATTAGAAATAAAAGATCAGGCTGGAAGCTATAACCATCAATAGTTTGATAACTTGCTTATTATATTTATATATCAATTCTATAAACATTCGTTCTAGCATACATAGATTCAACATTCGTGGATAAAATATTTATAATTGATATGTCATCGTATCTAGAGAAAACTCCTCATTAGAACACTTTTAATATCCAAAAGTCACATTTTAATGCTTTCGACTATATGATCTTTTTACTCACATATATATAAACCAACAATAACTTGGTATCGATCGATAGACCAGTCAATATATTGAAAATATTAGGATATAATTCACACCGGAAAATAGTAGATTTAGTAGAGATAGAACACGGTTAAGCTCATGATGCATATGTATCTTGTGAGATAATATGGTAGAAAGGACCATACCATGAACAAAAAAGAAAAATAGAATATATATATCTTATTTGCCATGGAAATGTTTTGTTGATAAACAGTTATACACATATATAAAATGGTTCAGAAACCCTAATCAAGTATTATGTCTCACTAGAATACTCTTCTCCACATCACACTCAAGAGAGAAACATTTCACAAGACAAATACTACATATATACTAAAACAAATCGAAAAATCAACTTCTTACGTACTTAATACATCAATCAGAAGAATAATGAAACCTGATCAGAACTCGTTGAAATTTATAAAGAAAAATAATATATGAAAAAAGCAATGCAAAACAAAACACGCTTGTTTAAAACAATCAAACAAACGAAAGGACAAAAAAATAAAAATAAATCTCACTGATATATTGTTTGTGTGTGTTTTTTTTTGGCCTAGGAATGATGACTTGTGCTGCCATCTTCTTGATGGTTGTGATGATGATCTCCCTCCCGGTTTTGCTGGTTTTCCGTCTCCTGAACCGGTCGGTACGCAGCGTTCAATGCCGACAAAACTCCATAATTGTTATTGTCTCCTCCTCCACCGTAACCAGACGCCAAAGGCTGTCCGGAAAACAAAGCAAACGGCGCTGGGAAGTTCATCAAATGTATTCCTCCTCCACCTCCACCTCCACCTCCACTACTGTTGTAAACGTCACCGGAATGATGAAAAGCCCAAAGATTCTGAGTATTATCACCACTACTCCAAAAAGGAGCCGTGGAAGGAGTCTGACTCGTAGGCAAAGATCCAGCCGTTGAATTTACTAGATAGTTCCCCATCTGGTTATGATCTACAAGCTGAGAAGAAGAACAAGAATGCGACTCATTCTTGGGACGCACCTGGTGATGAAGCTGCTGCTGCTGATGATGTTGAGCCATCGTAGGGGAATGAAAGTAATAGCTGCTCGGAGTTGTACGAAGATGAGCAGAAGAGAGGGAAGATCTTGAGCTACGAAGTGAGATATTAAGAGAAGTGAAGTTAGCCGGTATGGTTCCTGTCCCTGTAGCGGCTATAACCGCCGGCTCAGCTTGCTGGAGAAGCCACTCAATGGTTTCACCGTCTGATTTATGACCGAGCTCGCGTGTTAGCTGAAAGACACGTGCGGCGCACATGGCTGGCATACGGATCCTACGGCCTCGGCCTTCGACTTTGGTGTGTCTGTCCTTTGTTGAGGTTCGCTTAGGAGGTGGTTTCTTGGAGAGAGCGTTAGGGTCGGAGTTAGGTTCGGAGGAAGAAGCTGATGGGATGATGGCTAAGGAAGTGGAAGAGGAGGAAGAAGAATCAAGAAGCTGGAGAGGGAAGTTTGGTCTGTGATGATGATGATCTGGATCCATTGATTATGATGATGATGATGATGATCCAAGATGGTTGTGGTGGGGAAAGTGGGACTACTGTCTCTGTTAGATCTTTATGTGAGCCATAGTTTATCTCTCTATCTTCTGTTTTTTTTTTATTGCTAGAGAGAGAGATAGGTTATGGTCCTTAAGGACATGAAACTCCTTTCAGATGGGAAGCTTAGCTGTATGTCTGTGTCTGAGTGAGAGAAGAGAGAGAGATGGTTAAAGCGATATGAATCTGAAAGCATGGACTTTTATTTTCTTCTTTGCTTTATATCTTTTGTGTTATTTTTATTTTTGGTATTTTATTTACACTAGAAATTATTCCCTTTGAGAATTTTTCGTTATTTGTGGTAATAAAAGAATAGGGTTACGTGGTTTTCATTCTGTACAATTGTTCAAATAATATGTTTTGCTTTTTAACGTACAGTGATCGAGATAAATGGAAAAAGAAGAATTCGTATTTATTGCGTTTCATGCATAAATTTTCATAATAATACAACCCTGTTTTCAATTTTACCAATAATTGAATAGGGACGTCAGTTTTCGTCGTTACTGTTAACTTCATGTCGATCGCAAAATTAATTGCACAGTTAGCGAAAAATTCAGCCATTCAGAACTAGAACTCAGAAGTTACATATACAGATATACTAATAGTATTTTGTACGTACGTGACAACATAATAGTAGATAGATTGAATTATTATTGACAGTGATTAATAGTCTATGGCTCTATGGTAGATCACGAGATCCACATGATAGAATCCAACTCCCTTTTTATGAAACAGATTTTTTTATTTTTTTTTTGAGTATATGTCTCTTTAATAAGTGATCGCGTTTAACATTAGTATCTTTAACGAAACCAAAAATAGTTATACCCAAAACAAAACCAAATATAGAGCTATATATTTGCTCAAAAAAGGAGCTATATATATGTAGCAAAATTATATTGCTTCTGCTTTGTTTCCACCATTGGTGTCAGCTCATCGACAGACAAATGTCGTTAAAGCATGTATAGCTTAGAAAATTATTCTGACACTCTGAAGTGGAAAAACCATTTTATTTTTACTTTAGTGAAATTTGCAAGTAATGATGAAGAACTTCCTTTTTTATGTGATGATAATTCAACACATAGACAGTTCATATACTGATCTTTTGTTTACATATAAGTTCGATGGGAGTTTAGAGACAGGCAGTGTATAACATACAAAATACTTGGTATTAATTTAACATATTGTTATATATTAGTAAATTACACTTCAAATTTTTTGATATAAATAAAAGTTAAGTCACTTATAATCAAAAGTTTCGGCTAGTAATAAATACATATAAGAAATGAAGAATCAAAACACAAAGAAAGAAAAAGAAACGATTGTAGAAAGACGTTGTACATATTTGACATATGTCAGATAAACACAATTACAATTCAGAAAGAACGATCACAACATTTTATAAGTAATAAAGTCAGCCAACTAATTAATCACTCATCTATTTATATACATTTTG